CGATTAGAGATTGGCCGACGCCCCGCACATTGACAGAGTTACGGTCGTTCCTAGGCTTAGCTAACTACTATAGGAAGTTCGTGAGGAACTTCTCCACTATCGCCGCTCCCTTGCGCCGATTGCTGAAGAAAGAGGCAATCTGGCAATGGGACAAAGACTGTACGTCTGCGCTCAAGAAGCTAAAGCGCGCGTTAATAGAGTATCCTGTCCTCAAAGTTGCAGATCCGTCTTTGCCATTTGTCATCACCACGGACGCGAGTCAGTATGGGATAGGCGCCGTGTTGCAGTAAGACGACGACAATTGCTATAGACCCGTAGAGTTCATGTCAGCGAGGATGCCCTGTGAGAAGGTTGCTGCCTCCACGTACGAGAGAGAACTCTACGCTCTCAGGCAGGCTTTAGATCATTGGAAGCACTACCTGCTTGGGAGGCACTTCAAAGTGTATTCGGACCACGAAACGCTTAGATGGTTAAAGACTCAGGCCAAGATGACACCTAAGTTGACTAGGTGGGCCGCAGAGATAGACCAATTCGACTTTGAGCTCAAACCAGTGAAGGGCAAGTACAACGTAGTTGTAGATGCTCTGAGTAGGAGATCAGACTACTTTGGAGTTGTAGTACACTATCTGGATATAGGGAGAGACCTGCAGGAGAAAGTGAGGCAAGCATATGCGCAGGACCCTATCTATAGCGACCTCCTAAAGAGAGTTAGAGAGGCCCAGAGACTGAACCAGATTACCGCACTACAGACGGGTTGTTGTTTGAGAAGACTAATGTGTTTGACCGCCTGTGCGTTCCCAACAGCGAAGAGATCCGCAGTTTGATMTTAGGGGAATGCCACGATAYTGAAGGGCATTTCGGTTGGCAAAAGACATTAGCCAACCTGATGCGTGCATATACCTGGCCAGGAATGAAGAATGACTGCATAGAGTATGTCCGCAGTTGTAAAGTGTGCCAGGGGAATAAGTCTACTACACGCGCGCCCCTAGGTCTTCTCAGACCCTTGCCTATTCCGGATCAGCCGGGAGACTCAGTGTCCATAGACTTCATGGACACGCAAGTCAAGAGCAGACATGGTAAGAGCCAAGTCATGGTCATAGTCGACCGTTTTAGTAAGTATGCAGTTTTTGTTCCTTTGCCTGCAGAGGCACGTACAAATTTAGTAATACAAAAGTTCTTTGACTTTTGGGTTAGTGAGAATGGAATCCCATTGTCAATAGTTAGTGATAGAGATAGTCGTTTCACCAGCCAGAACCGGCAAGAACTCATGAGAGTCTACGGATCTAAGTTGTTAATGTCGTCCGGCCGTCACCCAGAGACTAACGGTCAGACGGAACAGATGAACAAGATCCTACAGCAAGTTCTGCGCATGTATATTAGACCAGATCAGATCAACTGGGATGAGATGTTACCCATGGTCGCTAGTGCGTACAACAACAGCGTGCATCTATCCACCTGCCGCACTCCCAATGAGTTGCACAAGTCCTTTAGACCGCGCAGACCGTTCGAAGGACTGAACCGGGATCAGATTCACAGATTACCGCCCGGTACCAGGGAGTTTGTGATACAGCACGAAAAGGAGTTAGCCACTGTTGTTGAGAACCTCCGGAAGGCCCAGCACAGAATGATAGAACAGGCTAACAAGCACCGACGCCCATCGCAGTTTCAAGTAGGCGACTTAGTCTGGGTCAAGGCAAAAGAGTTTGCACCGGAAGAAAACATCTCGCAGAAGTTACTGCCTGCATATAGAGGRCCGTGGCCGGTTCTAGAAGTCAAGGGCAGAGAGGATGGACCGTCCTACAGCATTGAGATTCCAGCACACCTCCACACATACCCTGTGTT